TTATAATAATAATAATAATAATAATAATAATAATAATAATAATAATAATAATAATAATAATAATAATAATAATAATAATAATAATAATAATAATATATGATTGACAAATATTTGGTTTCAAATGCTTTAAGGATAATGATAATAAAATGGATAGAAGAGAACTTGTAACTTTAATAAAGAAAAAATTAGGGGAGGAGAGGGGACAAAAATCTAGGAAATATTCGAGTTCTGGGTTCTCTCGAGAAAAATTAAAGAAATGATTATATATAAAGGCTTGTTTGGTTGTTGTGGAATTGTATGGAAATATTTTTGAGAATTTATTATGGCATTTTATATAGGGGAAAAATATCTTATGTAAAATCGAAAATATTTTTCAGAAATGTATTTTTGGGGCACATCCTCCACTTATCAAAATTGGCAAAATTTCGTTACAGCCTTGTTTAATGTAAGAATTATACCAGAAATATAATATCGATGGAAATCGGAGATACATATCCGGGAAATTTGTGCCGGGAAATCCAAAAATATTTTCATATATAAATCAGATATATATTTCCTATTTATTCTGAAAATACAAAAGCTTAAAACAGCAACGTCCATGGGGTTTTGATCAAGCTTATTTCAAAGTGTGACCAAAATACTCACCAAAAAACCCTCACATTCTCAATACTATTTTTCGCTCCAAATCAACATTCTTGTGGTGCATTATATCAAAAAGAGTTAAAAGAAACTGAATTTAAGATAAAACTTTCTCTTTTCAATCTACATTAATCACATTAATTTGTTCTTTTTGTAAAAAAAATGTCACGTTAATACCCTTAAGGGAAATCAAGACCAACATGTATGAACCGCTTGAAGATCTTCATTACACAATATAGAGACTTTTACCATTTGGCGACAATCGGAAAATTTTAAAGATTGAGTACCGCTCTCCATCCATTAACAACGACGTAAAATTTGAGTTCATCAACAAAGAGATACAAACAAGTACTGATTTACGGGCTTGTGAGAAACCTTTTTCGATTACGAAGAAAAAGTTCAAATCGAGCTTGATGTGATGATTACAAGAACAGTCGGTGAAATTTTGAAGTTGTTGCAACGTCTACCCAGATGTTGAAGTGTAATTTTATGTCTTGTTTACTTTATATGATTTTATGTTTTCTTTGGGAATCTTGATGTAATGTGTAAGTATTGTTTTTCTATATTCTGTAATGAGTAATATCAAAAATACACTTTCAGTTATAAACCGGAAATATATTTCCGATTTTAGTCTTTTTTAATAAGATGTTGGTGCGTCTTAGAAATGCATTTATGATTTTTAAAGGCATTTTGAAAAATTCCCGTTAGTGCCTAAAAAATATATAAAATGTATTAAGAAATTCTATTTATTTTTTTAGAAAAATTGTATGGAAAACGTGAAAGATGAGATTTTGAGCCATTTGGTTGGAAATGGAACCCAATGGGTTTTGACTTCTTATGGGGCTGTTTATTTTAAATTATCTAAAATGTATCTCTCAAATTTAGAGATGCACTTTCCTAAAGTGTTAACTGTTATTTTATATTTATTTTTACTACGTATAAATATCTTTGGCATTGCTATTTTTCACCCTAGTTCTGTTTGGATTTCTTAATTTTTTTTTACTTCTGTAATGTTATTTATCTACTTGTAAAATCGTTTGTTTGTATGCGAAGATTATCTCACTCGTAAAATTGTTTGATGTGAGACTTTTCAAAAAAACTTTAAATATAAAATCATTTTTATAAAATAGAAAATTACATTATTGTATTTTTTTTTAATTAAATGTTTTCACATTTAAAGTATGTTTGTTTTAAGTTTACAGCACATATTCCTGAAAATATGATTATGGAAATATAATATTCACATGTTTGATTCAAGCTTTATAAAATTATTCTTAAAATTTTTTTATTTTAAGAAATATTATTTACACAATTTTTTTATTCTTATTCCAAAACATAAAGGGTGGGAATTCAAGATTTTCAATGAGAATAAGTTTAACTACTTATAACTTTTCACTTTTACTCATTATATTTATTTTTATAATTTTTAAATTAAATTAATTTGTAAATATTTCTAAAAACTTTAATTTTTGCCTAAACACATAAATGAGAATATTATTCGTAGAAATATAATCTCAAAAATATAATTCTAAGAAATATAATTTTATAACTTAGAAACAAACACACTCTTAATATACGCTGTGCTGTTTTGACTAGTAAAATAGTGATGCAATAACATTTTTGTATTTTAGTATGTTTTATGCCTTTGGGCTAGTAGTATATGTGTCACTTTTATATGGAATTATGTATTGTGGACTATTTGAGATGAGAAATGTTATGTTTATACCAAATACAACACTTATACCGTTTTCTTTTTCAGGCAAAAGAAAGAATATATTAAACATTCTATGCACAAGAGATTCAAGAATGAAGAAAATATTATAATGTCAAATCCAAATAGAGAAACATGCTATCAGAACTAATATGGTCTGCATATGTCATGCCTCCAATACTGAATCACTACACTGCATATAGTCTGCATAACAGAACAAAACCAGAACACAGAATCAAATGCACCAAATCAGATACACTCCTAAAACATAATGAAAATATAGGTCTGCAACATAAATCCCTAAGCAAAAACCTGTTTCCCCGCCAGACGAAAATTCCGCACCAAAATAACTATCAAATACGGACAAGAGTTCAGATGGACTCTTTCAAGCAATCAAATGGAAATCAAAGCCAAATGCAGAGAGGCTGATTAAAATTCTTGGCCTTAATTTTCAGCCAATGCCACGAGAGAATCTTAATTTTATCCGCTATGTCTGCTGCAGGAATTGTTTTACTCTGAAAAATCTTTTCATTTCTGGCCCTCGAGATGCTCCGCAGAGAGGCAAACCATTTAGTTTGGACATCAGTCTCTTGCTTTTTCTTAACCTGTAACAAACCACGGAACGCAGAAAAATTACAGACGACATTGTGATGTGAGACAGTGAGAACCCTCTAGCCACTTGAAAACTATGTATTTTGATTTTGAGACGAAAAGAGTAAATATATGGCCGCATTTAACAATATAAAAAAACTCTCGACTCTCCTGGTCTTATCATTTGTTGAGATTCATATAAGATGAATGTACCAAACAGAGAGGAGAAATACATGAATGCGAAAGTTTTAGAAAATGGGTATGATTACCACGTTTCCATCTTTTGCTACGGGGACACATCTACAATTCCTCAACGTCTGCTCACTACTCTCTCTTCGGCCGGGATTTGCATCATAGATGTAACTATAATCGATTTTAACCTAAATTGAAATTGGAATTTAGTTATCAATTATCTGTCATTTATTTGCTTAGGGTTTTGTTAGACTACCTAGTACTGTTAAGAAATTTTTATGTGAATTCAGAAAGCGAAGTTTATTTCACGTTCCGATAATGATTACCGACATGCTGAACTGGGCACCTGCAAATTATTTATTGATTTCGAATGAAGTCGAATTTTCTTATCCCATCAATCACCTGAATTACAAAGAAAAAAAAATTTATTTTCTACAGAGTTTCTCTTTTTCCATAAACTGTAGAAAAATTTATTAATCACTTGCAACTGTAAATTCTTTTATTACAATGAATTGACTTAATTATAAAATTAGGAGTTACTCCCTCTATTTATAGATTTAAGTTAGTTTGCTCCCTAAGCCAAGTCCAAAACTATAAAAGCCCAAAATACTTATTTTGGTACTAAATCAAATATATCTATTTTAGATCTAAATCAAATTTATCTAAATCTAAAATCAATCAAATATGTGTGTAGCTTGCTTCGATCCACAAGCTCCCTTCGACACACACTGTTTCGACACAATCGAATTACAATTTAACACACCACTTAACTCATTGTGTCTAAACTATCTATATTCATCATAATTCTTAGCCTTCTGAATACTTCAACATGCACTCCCTTCGTCATGATGTCTGCAATCTGATTCTCAGTTCTGTAGTGTTCCAAGTTCATTTTTCCATCTGCTACCTGCTCTCGAAGATAGTGGAATCTCATTTCGATGTGCTTGCTTCGACATGTGCTATCAGGTTCTTTTCCAGATTGATAGCTGACATATTGTCGATCTTCATGGTAATTGCTCCATAATCTTTCCCTGTTATCTCTTCGACCAAGTTCACCATCCAAGTTGCTTGACATGCACAAAGAGAAGCAACTATGTATTCTGCTTCGCATGATGATAATGCCACTATTGGTTCCTTTCTTGAACTCCAAGCAACTGGTGCACCACCTAACATAAACACATAACCTGCTGTTAATTTTCTATCTTCAGCATCACTACACCAACTCGAATCAGTGTATCCCATTAACTTGTATTCTTTTCCTTTATCAGCTACAAGAAACAAAATGTCATAGTCGAGAGTTCCTTTGAGATACCTTAGTATCCTCTTCACCGCTGCTAGATGTGATACATTTGGCTTTTGCATGAATCTACTTATCATTCCTACACTATATGCTAAGTCAGGCCTTGTATGAAAAAGATATCTCAATGACCCAATAACTCTTCTGTATTGGATTGGGTCGACATCATCTTCATCTGCATCTTTCGACAGTTGCAGTCTTGGTTCTGCAGGTGTCGAAGTTGAGTTGCATTCTTCTATCTTAAATCTCTTGAGAATTTCTCCTGCATATCTTCTTTGACGCATCATCAAACCTCTACTGCTCTTGTAGAATTCGATGCCAAGGAAATATGAAATCTCACCCAGATCAGACATTTTGAATTCCTTGCTGAGACCACCTTTGAAGTCTTCGATCTCACTTTTGCAGTAACCTGTTATCAACAAATCATCGACATAGAGACATAGTATAAGCAATTCACTATTGCTTCTTCTTACATATACTCCATGTTCAGTTGTGCACTTCATAAATTCCTTCTCCCTTAGGAAACTATCAATTTTCTTATTCCAAGCTCTTGGAGCTTGTTTCAATCTATACAGGGATTTATGCAACCTGTACACCTTTCTCTCTTCGTCATGTTTCACAAATCCAACTGGTTGTTTAACATAAACTTTATCGTCTAAGAATCCATTCAGGAATACACACTTCACGTCCATCTGACATATGTGCCATCTGTTTATTTCTGCTAGACCAACAACTAACTTGGTTGTTTCGATCCTAGCAACAGGTGCAAAAACTTCATCGAAGTCTATTCCTTCTTTCTGTAGAAATCCTTTCGCCACAAGCCTTGCTTTGTGTCGAGTTACTTCCCTTTTGGAATTCATTTTCACCTTGTATACCCATTTGACATCAATTGCTTTCTTGCCTTGAGGCAATTCGATAAGTGACCAAGTGTTGTTGTCTTCGATAGACTTCACTTCTTCGTTCATTGCTTTCACCCACTTTGAATCCTTCAATGCTTCAGCTGCATTGACAGGTTCAAAATCTTCATAGAAAGCATAATGTACCAACTCACATTTATTATCTATTACATCATATGATGTAATCATACAATCTTGCAATCTTGCAGACATGCGTCTTGTTCTTTGAGGTATGCTTGTACTTGGTTGATCTATAACTGCTAGTTTCTCTTGTCGAACTTCTCTTTTGACTTGAGTTTCTGGTTCTTCAAGTAGGATTCCCACTGAATCTTTCTTGACATTTTCAGTCCAATCCCATTCTTTAAGCTCATCTATGATCACGTCCCTGCTGAACACAATCTGCTTGTTCACCAAGTTGAATAACTTGTAACCTCCTGTCGAATGATATCCAACTAGAATCATTTGACTCGACTTATCATCAAGTTTTTTTCTCAACTGATCTGGCACATGTCTATGTGCAATAGATCCAAATACCTTAAGATGACTCAAGCTAGACTTCACACCAGACCAACATTCTTCTGGAGTAATTCCTTCTAGCTTCTTCGTAGGACATTTGTTCAAAATGTACGTTGCAGTCGACACAACTTCACCCGAAAAATCTTTAGGTAAATTTTTGCCTTTCAACATACTTCTCACCATATTCATGATGGTTTGATTCTTCCTTTCTGCAGTTCTATTATGTTGTGGAGTATAGGATGGCACCACCTCATGCACAATGCCTTCCTTTTCACATAACCCGTCGAAGTCTTTTGACACATACTATCCACCACCATGAGTTCTCAAAACTTTGAGTTTTCGACCATTTTGTCTTTCGACCATAGACTTAAACTTGGCAAATACCTCGATCACTTCACTTTTCTTCTTGATCAGGTAAGTCCACAGCTTTCGACTGAAATCATCTATGAATGTAACAAAGTATTTCTTACCTCCCATCGAATCCACCTAGATTGACCCACATACATCAGAGTATATGACTTCAAGAATAACCTTCGACCTGCTTCCTACATCCTTGCTGAAGTTATTCTTGTGCTGCTTCGCCTGTACCCATTCCTCACATACCTCGTTTGAAATGTCGATTTCTGGAAATCCTGAAACCATATTTCTTCTCTTCAAATCTCTGATGTCTCTGAAGTTGAGATGGCCTAGTCAATAATACCATATTCATTCATCTTTGTTAGCTGCAGTCGAAAGGCACTTGTGCTCCATCACATTAGTTCGACATACCTTGTGGTTCTGATGAATCCGCAACGCAGCAACCTTTCGATCTTAGCTTTGATCTTTGTGAGAACCGCTGGTGCGAATCTTCTAGGAGTTTGCTTGATGGGCTTCTTGCCATCTTTGATTGGAAGTCTGTGTTCGACTAACTCCCTCTTTAAACCAGGCATTTCGTCATAATCCCACGCGAAGCAATCTTTGTTTTTCTTGAGGACTTCGATCACTTCCTGCTTGAGGCCTGGGCTAAGTTTTGCACTTATGTAGGTTATTCTTTTCGTGTTTTCATCCCCTAAGTTCACTTCTTCGAGTGGATCCTGCGCCAACATTTTGGCACCTGAGTCTATGGGGTCCCTTTCGAAGCCTAAGGGTTCTTTATCATAGATGGCGTCCAGCTTTTGATCTATCTCAAGTTCTTTAAAGGGTGAGCCTTTCGAGCCATCCCCATTTATTTCGTTCATCTTTACAGCCAGTTTATTCATTTCAGCCTCTAAGGCCACCTTTGATTCGTTCTCAGCCATATAGGCCGAAACCCTTTCAAAAAAGGAGGACTCAGTCATGAGTAAGGTTGTCGAATTCCCAGCCTGCTGGCCGTCTTTGTATAGTACTTTCGACTCCTTCGTCATCACTGATTATTCTTCTATCCCAGTATAGGCCATCATGGCGAAGGGTCATATAGTAGTGGGCGTTTCTGGTTTCGTTGATTTCATCATTTGGGACACAAGGAGCAATCTTTGCCAGATGTTTGTCATAATTCCTCTTGTCAACTAAGTTGACTGTTGACATGAAGTAACTCTGGTCTGCTTCAATGTTTTCCACGATCCCATCTTCTCTCCATAAAACTAATCGCTGGTGCATTGACGAAGGAACTGCCCCTACGCCATGGATCCACTCCCTTCCCAGCAACAAGTTGTAGTTGGCCTTGGCTTCGATCACCATGAACATGGTGGGCCTACAGCTTGAGCCTATTGTCAAGTCCAATTGAACTACCCCCAGTGTTTTGCCTACTTTCCCTTCATAATTGGATAGAACCATGTTGTGTGGCTTGATGTCCCCTTCGCGTATTTCTAACCTTTTCAACATGAAGTGGGGTATTAAGTTGACTGCAGCGCCCCTATCCACTAGAACCTTATTCACGCCATGGGCACCAACCTTTGCCCGAATAAATAGTGGCTTAAGATGGTTCTTCATAGCTGGTTCTGGACGCTCGAAGAACGCATTCTGCTCCTCGACGGCTCCATTATCCATCACATAGTAGCACACAGGCCTGTGCTTCATCAGATCTATGGTATCTTCTTCCTCATACTCATCAATTTCAGTTTCCTGTCCAAACTCACAAGGAAGCACAGATACCACGTTGCAATTGAGGTTGAACAAAGACTCCCCCTCTGATTCGAAGTTGTCCGTTATCATATCTTCATCTTCTTCTGGACCTGGAGTGTATTCCTTTGGTTCACTTGGTTATACTTCAGAAAAGAGCCTCCTATTAACTGGGGGTTTGTCTTCAGTTTGATTTTTTGGTGTGGGTTTGTTGGTGTTTGATTCACCTTGGTTTTTTGTTGAAGTTGCCCCTTTATTTGCCACAGCTTCCCTCTCAGCCTTTCGAATTCTCTGTTGCCTTCACCACTGAGATCTTGACAGGGGGTTTCTTCCTTTGTAATTCTCTAATCTCACCTCTTCCCTCTTTGTTATGTTGAATTGCCTTCTATATGTCATAGCATGGTGTGCGTTTCGTTCAGTGTTTCTCCATTTATCTTTGCCTTTGTCATTTCTGACTTGCAGCCATCTGTCTATTGGCACTTCAGCAGGGATTTTGAACGTCACTCTTCGAGCACCCTTGGGATGAGGACTATCAGGCCTTGGTTGT